CCCTTTGGGCTCCCTCATTTGCTGGAGGCTTTTAAAATTCATTCCTTTTCACAGCTGGTTAAACAATGGAATCTTTTGGCAAACTAAAAGGACAGAATTGATTGCCCTACACAAACTTTTCTGCACGTATAATTGATTTTTAATTCACTGCCTTATTTCCAAAAGGACTCGACAATAAACTCGGTGCTGTATGTGCAGTATTGATCCCCCCCAACAAGGGCTCGGATCAAAGACTGATGCAAGTTAATCACAAACAAAAGATTGTTATCTTTCATCTAGGAACCTGTGTTTAAACCAAATTCCCCTTTTTCAGCTGTAATACACCTTGTATTTTCCAGCTGTACTGCACCTCAGCATTTTGTAAACCTGCCAGCTACTCAGTAACTATAATTTTATGCAACCTTTAAATAACAACTTTTTCCCCCAAGCAGAATAATTTCATCCTTCACTGGGCACTTTTGACTGTGAGGGCTGATGGTTCTTTTCCACTCTGAGCTCTTAGAGTAAGACACAGACAAGGCCTTCCCACACGTGTTTAGACTAAAATCTTATTTATTCCTAAAACACAGCTCCTGCAAGGCCACAGCAACCTGACTTTGGTGGATTTGTATCTCAGTGCTCAGCTAAGTTTCAACTCTTACTGATTTTCACATTTGTAAACGTGGCTGGATCACTAAATTCCAGAAAATGTTCATTTAGTGGGACTGCCACGGCACTGGGGAGCTGCAATGTTTATTTTTTGTGGGTAAAACAATGACACTGAGCAGTGAGTGCTGCCTTAACCTTCCAAGCCCACTCCAGGAGTCAGCCCAGCTTTTCCAATACCCCTTGAGGATTTTTTTCCACTCGACCATTCCAGAGGCTCTGTTTCAATCTGGCTCTGAATTCCATTTTCTATAGCTGCCACATAAACAGTAAATAAAATTCATGGTATTTTTGCCCCAGTAAGCAGCTCTGTCTCCCAGCACATCTGAAGAGCCCTGCTTTCAAAGGAGAACACGAGAACAATGTTTTCATGAGCACACACTCCAAAAAGGGTGGATGAGACATCTGAGGAGGATTCCAGGCAAAGAAGCCAAGCAAATAAAGCTGTGGGTTTTGCATAAGTAATTCCTGACCTGCCACACTGGATTACAAACACTCGATCAGGAAAGTCCTTTGCTGTATCTTGTCCTTTCTGCAACAAAGATCTCCACTTGGATTCTGTGATAAACGAGTTTCAGCTGAAGCCAGGTGTGGATATTTTAAAATTTATGAACTTGTAAATGGATGTACATGGCCAATTAGGATTTAGCAGCAAGCAGGATTAACTAGCCTGCAGATAAATTGAGGAGGTTGTTTGAATGGAGGTTGTTTACCTCAAGTGCTTGACATCCAGAGCAATGTAAAATATTTAAAAGGCAGAATTATTTCCAGATAAAAGGCAGTTATCAGGGATGTCACAGGGTGGCATTGACAGCTCTGCACAGGTGAAAGAACTTTCCTGAGAACATTTCCTTTAGAGAAGTGTAGAGAAAAGGGAGGAACTGCCCAGTGAAGAATGTTCAAGCACTGCTTCACCCAAACCCCCTTCAACTTCGGAAGACACAGCCCCGAGTTCCAAAGGTGCCTCAATTAAACCTCACCAGTTCTTCATCATCAACATCTGAATGCTAATGAGGAGCAGAGCTCCATGCAGGAGAGCATCCCAGTGCAATAAACTGCAGCAGAGCAGCAGCAAACTCTGCCTGCAGCAAGCATGCATAAATAAACAGAATTAATAACTACCCGAGTGTGGACGGGTGACTTAATCTGTTTCGATTAGATGCAGCTCAGCCCCAGGCCTTTGTGGTATTTAAAATGTGTTCATCATGTTTAATTAAAAACCTAATAAACTGCAGGTTCCTTTAGCTCTGATTCGGATTTCTCCCTCCTGTAAGCCCTATTGATTTCGTTCTCAGAACTTTTGATAAAGAGAGAAAAACAAAAAGCAGATTTTGAATGAAGAGACAAAAATGTGAGCTGGAGCTGGGGCTGTTGTGTGAGGAGCAGTCAGGACCAGCTCCTCTCCTTCCACATTTCCAGCTCATGAACCACTCCAGAACAGAAAACCTTTCCTCTAGGTCACCACAACTAGAGATGATCACTGATTTATACCCTGCATAAATCACACATCTCTGATAGTTATTGATCTGGAATGGGAGCTCCTTTTGGGACCTGGAGCAAATGCAGGGTCAGAATTGCTCTGAACATCCCTGAGGCATAAAAGCCATTTTGCAGGGAAGATTTTTGTCCTGAGACACGTGGAAATGTTATCATTTGTCGTGGGAGATGTTCCCACTGGAAGCACAGCAGGGAATGGGGATGTTCAGCTCAAGCTCAGCTCAAGTTCCTGACCTGGCTCCAGATTTGGGATCTGTGGAAAGGACCCAGCTCCATCACCAGAGGAAACAGAGGCACTGCCAAACTCATCTCATGGCTCCAAACTCCCCTCCCTCAGCAGCTCCAGAGATTTCCAGGTGGAGAAGGACAGAGCAGCACCATTGCATCCCAGGGGGAAATTTCTGCCTGCCTGCATCCAAAATCCCACACCTGGCCAACACTTAAAGGGGCATTTTCTGAGGTGCAGAGCAGAACTCGCTGCTCTGACATCCTGGGCCGGGTTTGAGAGGAGATTTAAACCTGCAGGAGTTGCATTAAACCCAACTTTGCTCCCCAAATCCCCTCCTGCCGTCAGCAAAGTGCAGCCCCTGAGCCCCAGGTGATGCTGCTGCAGGTTGGTGTGTGCTCAGAACTGGCCTCAGTCAGGCATTAAATGTGACAATTGCTGCAACTTGCCCACAAAAGTGAATTTGTGAGCATTCACAAGAGAAACGCAGCCCTGCCCATCAGATGTGTGCTGGAAATGGATGTTGCCAGGTGGGGAAGGAGCCCTCACAAACAGGAAACAGCTGCTCAGAGCTGCTCACAGCAGTGCAGGAGCCCTCTCACAGCCACTGTGCAAGGCTGCCTCTCACTCTGAGCCTCTGAATTTACATGCTGGGACAAAAAAAAAAGGTTTAAAAATAGCCACAGGTTCAGAGACACGAGGGAGACAACGAAACTCAGTCTTCATATTTACACAGCCCCCGTGTAACTCAATCAGTGGCCAATTTTATCCTCTGTTTAATTCCATCTAAACATCTGCAACCACATCAGCAGCAGGAAAAATAACACAGCTCCCATGCTTTGTTTTAATCAGGTCTGACACTGCCAAGCAGCTCCTACCCCAAGTTTGGACACAGGCAGAGCTGTTCTAATGGGAAACAAAGGCTTTGTCTTTGGGCAGCTGAGAGTTCACAAAAAAAAAGATTTAAACATGGTGGTATTATTAGTACTATTATTATTCAGGTTAACTAACCAAAGCTCTGTATCAAGTGTGGGATCTGCTCATTTATCCAATTGCAAAACTTAAATTGAACTATTTAAATTGAAATAAACCACATTTGTTTGGCTGCAAGAGAAGATTAATGACAAGCCCAGCCCAAATAAAGCCAGGGACTGGACCTGGGTCTCCATTTCCCTCAGAACTCTCTGGGATCATCACCCACCACATCACTGGGGGCTCCATCCTTTGCCACCTGAGATGGAGGGGACACACACAGGGAATGCTGCCACCACAATTTCATTGTTTTGGCCACACTTAGGGTTTGACACCTGAGTGTTTTCTGACCAGCACTTCACTGCAGAATCCCCATGCAGCTTTAGCAGAATCAGAGTTCTCCTCAGTTTCCCAGTAAGGAAACTTCCCCAAAATGCCCCAAAATGCCCCAAAATGCAGCACAGCTGCTTCAGGCTGGAGCTGTGTCTGAGCTCAGGGACCAAGAGGCTCTGAGGCTGTGCAGGTGGAGCTTTGCTGGCTATAAATAAGAGCACAGTTTGATCTTTGGCTCTGCCCAGGCTGGAGGGCTGCCAAATGTTTCTGGAAACTTGGATGGAGCAGAACAAGAACAAATATGATAAAATGAGCTGGGGCTGACAATGATTTATAGAGCCAGTGATCATTACTCTGTGCTCACAGGCTGCACTTCTGCAGTAATGCTTCACTTTTCAATAAACTTTGTTTTTTCCATTGGTGAGGCTCAATCCTCTCTCGTTTACCACGGGTGGATCATCAAAACCCCTGAGTGCAGCAGCTCCAGCTCAGGGCAGCTGATGGAAAAAAAAATGAGGAGAGGGGGAGAAAAAAAAAAGCTACACAGGGAGAAAAAGAGAGGGGCTGGAACAATTCAGCCCTGGATGAGTGCAGAGAGCACAGCCTGGAACAATCTCAACCCAAACCCAGCAAACACAGGGCAGAGCACTCAGGATTTGCTGCAGCACTCAGTCCCTGCACAAATCTCCCTTTTTGGGACAAGGGAAGTGCAGAAGTGATCGAGGAGAGCCAGTCCCAGCTCTGCCCGTGCCCTGGATCCTCCCTCCCTCCATCCCTGCCCCAGGCAGCCACAAAAGTTCTTTGTTGGGCTGGAACCAGCCCCAGCCCTCCTGCAGGAAACTTTAAATGAGGAGAGAGCAGAGCACACTGCAAGAAATCCCTGAAAGCCTTGCAGAGAACCTACAGCTTAAAAAAAAACCTCCCCAGCCATTGCCTGAATAATTAAAACCATTAAGAGATCATGGAAGTTTCCCCCATTCATCAGTTCTGTTTTTTAACACCAATGCCAGATTTATTAGCAGCTTAACAAGATCACATTTTTATTTGTTTACTTCTTTAAATACTTCACCAATTAACCAGCTTAAAAATTGACCCATTCAAGGCAAGAGGACAAAAATCACCAAACTTTTCTCCTGTCACTTTTCCATGAGCGATTCTGTCATGCACTGGATCAGGTTTTTTTCATTTCTATACCCATGCATGTGTATTTTCATTTACACACCTGCCCTCATAAAGATAACCTCTTCAGGAAAAAAAGACAACAACATAAAAAAGCAAGAGCAGCAACATGAACCATAAAGGCTGGAGGAGATAAATCATTTCCTACCACTTCATCTTCAGTCCAACACTTCTCAATCAGCTTTGGCACAGGTTTCTTCACCAAACGCTGCAGGGCTTTTCCAGCATCGTAGTTACTTTCATGTAGCTGAAAAATAAAGAAGACAAACAGATCATTCAAAGGAATTAGCAGTGATCTGATACTGAAGGGGAAAAAAAAAAAAAAGCCACTACAGGGAACCACGGGAGATGTTCTCTGCCTAATTATTTTTACTGTTGATGTATGAAGTGAAATTTAAACAACCTGAAGGGTAACTGAGGTTTTATCAATCAGTAGAAGCAGCACTGAACCAAGCAGGATCCCCCTTTCCTTCCTAAACCTGTCCCAGGAAATGTTTAAACCAAAGTCATGCTGCTCCCTTCTACTCACAGAGCTCAATGTGATGTCAGCCATGATAAAATAGAAATTAATACATGATGGGTCAGACTTCACACAAATTGGCTCCAATCTCCTGTAGTCAGCAGGAACAGATCTGAACTGCTGAAGGTGCTCTTCCCCTCCACCAACTTACTGGGGCATTCATTAGGTTGGAATACTTAGGGGAATTTTAAAGGAGAAAGAAAAAAAAAAAAATGTACTTCTAAAAATAAAAGGTCACTCCTGGGCCCAGACCTCTGCTGTTACCTGCAGTGTGTTTTTGGAACAAACAGAAATGGTTCTTAACTGGCAGCCAGAACTTTTTTTTTTTCCCCTCACCAACAACTAAAACAACAACACAAAGAGGGTTTGTGCAGTGAAATGAGTGCTCCAACAACAGGTGGACGAGGAAGAAAACCAAGCCACAGTGGTTTGCTGTGAAACTGGAGCTTTTATTTGGCACCTTGAGGGAGGCCACAGGTATTGGCTGCAGTAATTAATTAATTAATTAATTAATTAGCAGGGGAAGCAAAGACATCAATGCTCCAACTCTGGCTGTCACTGCCAGGGTGGGCACAGCTCCTGCACTGCCCCAGGGTCCTGGGGATGCACAGAAACCTCAGCCCCCTGAGCTCAGCCTGCACCAAAACTGCCTGAAAAAAATAAATTAAAAAAAAAACACTGAAAAAATAGTTCTAAGGCTCCCCTGGTATGCAATGCCCACTTACAGGCATGAAAATAAGATGTTGCCTTTTCTGCTGGGTACACATTAATTTTCCTCCCTGTTTGCACTCCAGCACTGGGAACAAATCCATCTCAAAGGAAAAAAAAAAGCACTGTTTGTTTTGCCAGCTCACCTTGCAAATGCCTCTTTTCTGTGCATGCCACTACCTAGAAGATTTTTCACTCAGGAGATGTGACAGTGCTGAGGAGAATGGTTCTGCTGCTCCCCTCCCCTCCCTGCTCCCTCCCACAACACGGGGGATGCCAAAATTCTCTTTGTAACTTGGAGGGCATCTTTATTTTGCCTCAAGGACAACTCGTGTTTTTCCCTGGCAGCCCCATTGCCCAAGCAGCTCAATCTGCAAGAAAAATAAACCAGACAAGCCCAGAAAGAACAGCCTGGGCTGACAGGCAACCAGGAAAAGGAAAAGTTTACAGGCCAGCAAGGCTGCCCCGGATCAGCAACAATAATAATATGGGCATTAACTTCTGAGCAAGGAATTACATTAATAACAATCCCAACCCCATCAGCACAGATGGCACAGAAGAGCCACAGAACACAGAAGACCCCTGTGAAAATATGATACAGGCTTAGAGTCTCCTGAAAAATGTTAATTTTAGCAGGTGGCAGTGGAAAAAAAATGTTTTATAAATGCCAGGAGTAGAATAATGCAGCAGAAAGGAAAAATATTTTCTCTAAGTGCTGGAGTTAAATTTTTGTGTTGCAGTCTGGTTCATTCTCTGCTTTTTACTTGCAGCCATTTAGTATTCCTGAGCACTTTATTGGCAAGATTCAAACGTATAAATAACAGCTAATGATGACTGCCTCTGGTTTCATTAACTTCTGCTTGAACTTCTCCAGGTATTTCTATCAACACTGCATCATTGTCCAGGCAGCCAGAGAATCTCCATTTTTAGCATTAACTCTGCATCCAGATTTGGCACCACTGTGAGATTTGATCTGTCAACAACTGCAACAAAGGCAACCACCACAAATGGACCATAAACCAGAAAATCCAGCAACTTCTGCATCACTGGGCAGGACTAAAGGAGAATTCTGGATGTGCACAGGCCCAAAAACCTCCTTTACTTTGCTATTAAAGAAAGCCAGGTGCCAGGGAAGGGATTTCACCACCAATCTGCACAATCCCACAAGGTTCCAGCTCCTGGTGCAGCCCCTGAGCAGAGCTGCCATTTGTGTCTGGGTGATGCTGCAAATAAATTCTCCTTTGGCATGGCTCAGCTGTCAGGCACCTCCAGTCTGTAATGAACCCATGAATTACATCTTGCAGCTCTGACATCTCTGGGCTTGCTCATCAAAATATTGTTCTTCAATTGTAATTTATAACTTAATTTAAATGTCCCTTTCCTGTGACCTTTTTAGAGCAGAGTGCCATTACATCTGGCAGCTCCTGCTCCAGCAAGGCTTCCTTGGGCAATTACAGCCATTATGCTGTGCCTTGAAAAGCCCAGCTCAGTGAGGCTGCAGCCAGGGCTCAGCATTAAATAATTGCACTCCATTAAGAACACTGAGATCCCAGAGCCTTTTTCTCCAAGGAAAAATTGCTGCTATCTCATGGGAGTTTTACTGGATTGCTTCAAAACCACTGAGTCCCAGCCCGGCTGGGGTTGGATGTTAAAGCAGGAGGGATTGCTCAGCCAAAGCCACTTTCCTGGGGCTGCAGCATGTCCAGCACTGATGGGACAGCACTGGAATTCCAGAGCTCCCCAGGCTTCCATTTGTCCTGGACAAATCACATCCCAAAATGAGGGAAAAGGAAAAAAGAAACAGCAAAGGAGGAGCAGGATGGGGATTATGAGCAGCTCCATCCTTGGGTGTGATAACTCCAACCCAACACCTCACTGAGCACAAAATGCAATTCAGGTCACTTCCTTCAGCAGCAGAGCTGACACATTCCAGGGGCTGTGGATATTCTGTATAGCTATGGACATCTTGCCCTACTGTGAAATCAGAATATTTCCTTTTCATTTTCATCAACCATTTCTAAAACCCAGCAAGACAAGAGCACCAAGTGCCCTTTAGGGTACAATTTGGGTATCAGGCAAAATCAAACCAAAAAAACCCCACAACTTCCATCTCCTTTCCCCAGTTCTAATCTATTTTAAGCATCTGAAGAGCTGGTTATGAAGATTCCAAAGCCTGATATTTGTGATGCAGCCACTTTGCACTGGCATTGCCAGGGAGCTGCCAAAACAGCCCAAAACAAAAAACAAAAACCAAAACAGCTGTGGGGCCATACAGGCATGGCCAGTGCTCCACACAGAGCCAACGACCTGCTAAACTTCTAAACTTAGGACAGCACTTTAAAAACACCTTTCAAAAACCAGGAGGATTCTGCACAGCCCCCAAAAACGTTCACAGCAATCCCAGCACTTGGGTTTGGCCCTTTTCTCCCTGCCTGTAGGAGCGAGGATGAGGATGAGGATGAGGATGAGGATGAGGATGGATGAAGTTGCAGGTGGCAGATTTGTCTCCTGCACTGAGGTGGCTCCAGGCCTGGGCAGGGACCTGGCCCTGCCTCGTGTGAACCAGGACAGAGCTGCTCATTAACATCATCCACAAGCACAACCAGTCGTAAGGAGAAATGCTAACATGTATTTAAATAATTTTTTTTTTTTATGCTTTCAACCTTGTCTGTAGTTAATGAACAAGAAAATCTGGTCTAAGGGGCAAGTTAAAACAGGGAGTAATTTGTCTGGGTGACATCTTAGTTAGAAGTGAATTTCCTTGCACTGAGATTAGCCTGTCATGTTTGTCACTCATAATGACACGTTCCCATGCAGCAGAGCCATGAGAAGGCACAACAACACTATTAGTAAAGAGAGATTTACACAATATTAGCATATCATTGTTGGGGCTCTCCTCCATGGAGCTGATTTTTCACCTCGTGAGGGTAAACCAGGAGTGGCTGGCTCTGATTTCCCCAGCAAAACCACGAAGCCAAGCTCAGAAATTCCATTTTCCACACGGACTTTGCACCCTGCCCGCCCCAGGGGCTGTTCCAGGCTTTGCTGCTGCACACAACTCCAGGCAAGGCTGACCTCTGGGAACGAATTCCTCCTCTGCAGCCCTGCCAAAGCTGAGCACAAAGCAGGGAATGAAGTCCTGGCATCTCTGGGAACAGCCCTGCAGAACCTCTGACCAGCAGGCACAGGGATAAACCAGAGGGATAAAACAGGTCATGACTTTGTGGCTTTGCACTGGTATGGACACAGAAAGGATCTCAAACCACATCTGATGCTAAATCAGAGTTTGGAGGGCAAAGAGGAGGGAAGGAACTACTCCAAAATCCCCCCCAGCTCTTCCTCCTCAGCACTGCCAGCAGCAGCAAGGTTTGTGCTCAATATTCACCTGGTTCCATCCTTCCCTGGATTATCACAGAGCAGGATGAACTTTCTGGGATCATTTTTTCACCATTATTATGGTGAAACACTTGAAGGGGTTCTGTGTCCTCCTCCACCCATCAGGAGGGCAGCAAACTCCAAATGGAAACTTTTTTTTTTTTTTTCTTTCCTAAAGGTTACAAATGTGGCAGCAAGCCCCAAGAGCCAAACAAAAGAAGAGGAGCTGGAATTCACCTGGAATGCTGAGTGAATCATTTCAGTGAGCTCAGATATAAATACATGTATGTGATGTCTGTGTGTTGCATTGTGCCTTCCATGATCTTCATTTCTATCTGGCATAATTAACAATAAATCATTCTGGGGGCTTACAGCACCTGTTATTACATAAATAAAACAGCAGCAAAGCAGCTTGTCAAGACTGATTTATGTGAAGTGCTACCCTGAAGTTTATTGGATTTCCATAATAAGAAATCATACCACACCATTTTCTTTTACATTCATCTTCTGGGTTGCATATGATAATTTCTAAACAAAGACACAACTTAGTGCAGGTTAAGAGGCTCACAAATCATTTATCAGATAAATCTGATCTCTTTTAAATAGGTGGTGAAATGAAAGATAAAAAAGGTGCCATTTTGTCAGGACAACAGGTGACCTATCTGAACTGTTTAAAGTCAAAAAAAGCAGAGTCTCAGAAATGAGTCAAAGTTTCTTAAAATATCCCTGACAGAACTATTATTTATAAGGAGACTCTTTTCTAGAAAAATTCAAAGTGGACAAGGAAAGCATTTTCTAAAACAGACATGCACTAGAAACACAAAGAGAAAAAAAAATACAGAAGAACAAAACCAAAATATTTTGGGATTAATCTAATTTCAGAAGCAAGAACTCTACAAGTGCAACTGCAGATTCCTCAGGCTGCCAAGCGATTAAAGGGAGTAATTAAAGTAGATAGAGAAGCAGTGAAGTTAAATGAATTTTCTGCATTAAGCTATTATTATAGATAAGGGGAAAGAAATTCCAGTTCCAAAACCTCTTTAATGATTCCTGACCTTAACAGAAATTTGAGTCTCTGAGAAGGAAATCAGGGAACAACTGAGCCAAGTGCAGGGTGGGGAGGCCCCAGAGCCAGGGGGGCTCCATGCCCAGGGAAAGGAGCACAATTTGAATTCCAGCTACAACCCCAGACTAGCTGGGCTCAGTGGAAACCCCACGAGCCAGCTCAGGGGCAAATCCCAGTTCCAGCTGACCTGAGCAGCTCCCCAAAAATCCTCACTGGGCTCACCTTTGAGGCACCAGCCACGAGCTCCCCACTCAACCTCTGCAGCCCAGAGCTTTGGGAATCGCTTGGTATTTGAGAGGAAAACATGGGCCAAAAAATGTAACCCCCAAAATCTGCTTTACACACTGAGCCTCTGATGCTCCAGGAGCCCCAGGAGGGGCAGGAAGGCTCCAGGAACCCCAGGAAGGATCCAGGAGCTCCAGGATAGGCAGGAAGGCTCCAGGAAGGCTCCAGGAAGGATCCAGGAGCTCCAGGAGCCCCAGGAGGGGCAGGAAGGCTCCAGGAAGGCTCCAGGAAGGGCAGGAGGGGCAGGAAGGCTCCAGGAACCCCAGGAGGGGCAGGAAGGCTCCAGGAACCCCAGGAGGGACAGGAAGGCTCCAGGAGCTCCAGGAGGGGCAGGAAGGCTCCAGGAAGGCTCCAGGAAGGCTCCAGGAGGGGCAGGAAGGGCAGGAAGGCTCCTCCCCAAGGAGTCACTTACTGTGTTGAGGGCGTTGAGGGTGGTGTCGTCCCGGGAGGCAGCCACACATCCATCCTCCGTGGATCCCCCATCACACATCCCTGCAAAGGCTGCCATGCTCCTGCAGAGCCAGGGGAAAGGGGTCAATTCCTCAGCTCTCACAGTGCACCACACAAATACCGTATTTACACCTTACATCAGGAATTTCAGGGCTGTGAGGCACTGTGGATCAAATAAGGCAGCACCAAACTGCAAAGCTGAGTCACCCCAGCACACAGAATAAATCCAGCATTAAAATCCAATCTAATTTGCTTTCATCAGCTGAAAGTCTGCACTGCCAAAGGAGCAGAGCACGATCAGGATTACAGAAGCTGAAACCTGCACACAGCAGAAGGGAGTCTCAGCAGAGACAGCAAACTTCGTGCTGTCACCTTGGTTTTGTTATGTCAGAAAACTGACTGAAACTGCAGATTCCCCAGGCTCTGAACTCCTGCAAGCTACAAGTAATTTACTGAGACTCTGAATTACTGTGAAGCCCACCAGAGGAACCCACCAGGGAAGAACTGAAATGCAAACTGGAGCTCCCAAGGGGATTCCCTGCAGGGATCCTGGGCTGTCCCAGCTCTGCACCCAGAGCAGCTCCTCGCTCCCCACCCATGCCACAGCACACTGCTGCCTCTGCACTTCACCTCCAGAGCCACACCTGATGGCAGGGGGGCTGTGCTGGCCCAAATCTGAGCCTTGTGCTCTCAAACTGAACAGCTCAGCTGCTGCCAGGGGCACCCACAGCATCCCGGAGGGAAGGAGGGGCTGGAGCCAACACCACCCTGCCCATCCCATCCCACTGATCCCATCCCATCCCATCCCATCCCATCCCATCCCCTCCCCTGCAGCCCCAGGCAGTGCAGGACGCTGGCTGAGCTCACCTGGCTGCCCTGAGGTACATGAGCAGGTCACAGTCGTTGACTCCTGGCATCCACACGAGCTCCTCGTGCTGTGTCACCGTGTCCCCGTCCGGGGAAGGGAACGGCTGCAGCTCGGGCAGCTTGGCCTGGAAAACGAGGTCACACACACATGGCACAAGTTCTGAGGGCAGCACGACAGCTCTGCAGAACGGTGGAATTCTCTGGTAGGTGGAAGATGCTCAGACAGCAGTGGTGGAGGGATTTGTTCCACGTTTCAGAGCTCTGAGGATGCTGAGGCATCCAGCCCCAACCCATCCCCTCCATCCAGCATTCCTCCCCCAGCAGGGCAGGGATTTTCCTGATGATTTTTCAGGGCTAACACCACCTCAGCCAGGGGAGCCCTTCTGCACACAGCAGCAGCAGAGATGGAAAGGAAAAGCATTTGGTTCTGCACAGCCCCAGCCTGGGGAGTGCAGAGCTCAGGGACAATTCCCCCAGACACTGCAGCTGCTTTTGTGCCAGGGATGCTGATCCAAATTCTGCTGCCAGGCTGGAGCCCTCACAGAGCACTCTCACATGCAGGAAGGCAGCAAGGTATTTAGCAGATGTGTCCCTTCTGAAATCAGCAAGAAACTCCACACATCTGACACCAAATTTAACATTAAATGCTCAGTAAATCATAGAACTCTAAAGAGAAACAAAGACATTTCCTGAAAGGGAGATAGCTCAGCGAAATGAACACTGCCTCTAAATAAGTATTACACTCTATCCAGAGACCCAATTAGCATCTTTAGTCATCTCCTGCTCTGAGATGAGATAGCTGAGAGCCTCTTCAGAAACAGCTTTTAAGCCCTATAATTACCTCCTATACTCACAACGCTAAACGTATTTGAGAGGCAACATTTATACATAACCAGTAATTACAAGTCACAGGTTCAGATGTCTTTCATGTTCTGCTCTTTAATCTGTACTTTATTTTACTTCTTGCCTGGGAAAATGGATATGTCATTGAACTTCTCTTCTGGCAAGGGATAAGCCAGCACTGGGATTTCTGGGAGGGAGAGGCACTCCAGCACCCAGGGGGGGCTGCACAATCCCATGTCCATCCTCCTGCACCCTTGGAATGTTCCCCATGACTGCAGGTACCCCCAGGAGCAGCCTCCTCTTCAGCACAGCATCACTGAGGTGATGGAGAAAAGCTCCAAGGTGTTCAAGCCCAAGCTCAGACCCAATCCCCACCTTGACTCCAAACCTCCCTGGCTGGTGTTTGTAGCAGAAATTGTCCCAGGAGAACGTTGAGCAGAGCCCCACTGTGCTCCCCTGGGAGGAGAATTCTCAGGATTCTGCAATCCCACAGAATATTTGTCTCCTCTGGTGTCCCTGCTGCTGTGGGCATCTGTGCACTGAGGAAAGCCCAACCCAACAGCCCTGACACCTGTGACGTGCACAGGTGAGGGAAAACCAAAGCACCTGAGCCATCAGGAACCCCTGGGGAACCTCTGGATTCTGCTGCTCGCTCAGGGGGTGTCAGTGATGACATTTGTCACAAACGAGGATGAGGGAGGGAACAATGGAAGTCGAAAACGTGAAGCAAGCAAGAATTAACAGTATTCTAAACCAAAGGACCTTCTTCCTCCTTTTTATTCCCCATCCATAAATGCACGTGGTAATTATACCTTAGAGCACGGTGACTAATGCCTGCCAAAATATTAGATGACAATTTGAGATGAAAGTTGTTTTGAAGGTATCATTTACAGTACTCTTGTTATGACTACTGAAAAGAACACTACAGGTTTAATTGCCAAGGACTTCTTTCCTCTGAAGGCAAAACATCCTCAAGAATGTGACATCAGGTTCCATAAATATTTACTTTCACTGGTTCTTAAACGAGATTTTTAAGAGGGTCTGAATGAATATTCATCACTTGGATGCAAAACTCCAGCACTTGGACACTACAAAGTCAATTCCTCAGGAAAAGGAGAGGCCTCAGCTCCCAGTGACAGATCTGGCCCTATGAACCAGAGCAAGCTGTATGTTAATACTCTTTAAGAACAGATTATTTCCAATGCCTATGAAGGATTTCTCTCAAATTAGAATTAACATACCAGGAACATCTAGAGTCTTAACCTTATCCTGCTTCCCAGTGCATGAACATACCCAGCAGCCTCCTCAATTTCTGTTTTAACAATCCAAATGACTTAAAGCACTTCTTTAACTTCCAGCAGTCGCTCACATCCCCTCAATCTTATTCAAGAATTAACCCCACAGCACTTCTGCCACCGAAAATCATTAACATATCAACATGTGACACAGAAAAATCTCAGTAACTGAGCTAAGGAATACTAAAGAACTCCCTAAAATCATCTAAGGATGATTCTGAAAACCCTCACTGTATCTGAACACATTTTAAACAACTGTCATCTGCACAGAGCAAGAGGCAAAAGCATCTCTGGATACTGAACACAAACAAAAGCCCTTACCTGGTGGCTGGGTCCAACTCTGATTTCACCCTGGGTACTGTTTAGCCTCCTAAGATGCAAACAAAAAAGCAGCAGTGAGAAAGAATTGCAATTAATGAAATGCAGGGTCATATTCTCTTTTGTCATTGCATTTCCAATGCAAATGGAGCAGAAGCAGAAATTACACATTATTCAGAAAACAAGAGGGGATGTGCTCAGGTGTGATGAGTAACCTGGTCTGTGGAAGGTGTCCCTTGGCAGGGGCTGGGACAACAAATCTGAGCCAAAAGCCTCCAGAAAACAATGAGAACACGTCAAAAATATTTTCCCTCAATGCACATTTCTGCAAGACAACCTGACGCTGTTTTGTTGTTTTCAGGTTATGCAAGGAAATGACTGAACTAGGAAATCAATTTCCTATTTACAAAGTTATCCACTAAATAGCAGGTGTCAGAATTCTTCCCTGTGAGGAGCAAAGGGGAAGCTGACAACAGAAGGTGCTGATGCTCTTCCTTTCCTGCCAGAATTGATTTTAAGGCCGTGCACATCCCTACACAGGGGGATGAGCAGGGCTGAACCCTGGGCTGCTTTCAGCTCAGACAGGGAGAACCAAACTCCCAATTTCTGCAGCTGCACCACACTCAATGTGAGCAACAAGACATTTAAGAGCCAAGGCTGGAACATCCTGTAATTAATTGCAAAGTTAAAAGCAAAGTTTGGGGATGGGACCTCAGCTCCCAACTCGTTCTATGGGAAGGAACTCAGTGGGGCTCTCCAACCCTTCCTCCTGAAACGTGGACAGGAATATTTCTGTGTGTCTTTCCATCACCCAGCCACCATTTCCTGGGAATTTTCACACCTCAATCCCCTCCACCAAAAGGTGAGGGCTGGGCTGAGCTGCTGTGCAGGTTGTTCACATCCCACCTGGATTTTAACAGGGCACAAAAGCCCCTGGCTCCTCAAGGACACACAATTCCTGCTGCTTCCACATCCCCAGGAATGGGTTTCAAATGGAAAGAAAAATTCTTGCTATGGAAACTAAAATGCACTGCAGATTTGAAGCTAAATCATATTGGTGAGAGCAATTACAATGAGAATGGAATGGCATCCTGTGTTTATTCGATGGGAAAGGGAAAAAAGGAGCCAACACTGTATATGAAATGTGACACAAAAGAAACTGCTGTAACAAAGCAGTATCCATAGCAACAACAACTTAATATTTCAGTCCTCCTCAGCTGCAGTGGATTAAATATAATGACAAGATGTTCCCTTTGAAAAGTAACCTGCTGCCATGGCAACGTTGTGTTCTGCAAAGTAAACAGGGGCTGGTCAGAAAGGAGCTGGGAGCCAGCGCTGGAATATCAAAAAGGCAGAGGCAGAGCAGGGCAAACAGCAGAGCCTGACCCACAGAGCTCAGAGCTCCAGCAGCAGCAGCAGCATCCTCCTCTCCTGCTGGACCACAGGGGATGGGGCAGGCCCAGGGCCAAAGGCAGCAGCACTGAGAAAAAAACAGCTCAGAGGTGAGGATGGGCAGGGATGGGGCACAGCTCCCATTCCCCAGCTCTGGGAAGGGAAGGAGGAGAGAGGGAGGAAGGGCTGGCACAGAAATTCCTGCACAAATTTCCAATATAGGAATGAGCTTCACCTTCACTTTCTGTTTGTCACTCACAGTGACCTAAGGCTGGCACAGAAATTCCTGCACAAATTTCATATACAGGGACGAGTTTCACCCTCTGTTTGTCACTCCCAGTGACCCAGGGCTGGCACAGCTGGCAGCTCTGTCCATGGACAAGGTGCCACAAAGGACTGGGACAACCTGGGCTGCCCCAAAGCACAGCAGAACAGCTCTGGGTTCAACCTGGGCTCAGGATTGTGTCACAGGATGCCCAGGAATGGGAATTCACAGCAAAATCCTCTTGGAGGCAATGGCCAAAGGCTCCTGGGGGTCTGTGCCCAGCCCTGTCCCCCCAGCCAGCCCTGCCTGGCTGCTGTGTCCTGCTGTGCTCACCCTGCCCTCAGTGCTGCTCTCCCCTCTGGGCTCTCTGCCACCCAGCAGCACCTCAAAACTCATGGAGATAACTCAGAGCTGCCATTAAGTTTAAAAAAAAAAAAACAAAAAAAAACCCCAACAACCCACAACAAAACCCCAGAACAAAACCAGAACCCGAACTGCAATTCTGTGCTACCCAACATAACCAGCCTGGGCACCAGCATCCCTGACTCTGCAGATTGAGGGATCCCCAATTAAATCACAGGGATGCTTCAGCACAAGAAGGGTTTTACACCAACCACTCCACTCAGCCACAAACCTCCTCTCAAACAGCATTTCTGACTCTCTTTGGGGCAACCCAAGAAGGGTTTTCAAAGCAAACTTGTTAAAAGCCACGCCTGGTGTGACATGGGCACATCAGGGACACAAACTCCACGTGCAGATGAAGTTTCTGCCATCCCACTGAGGTGCCCCCAGCCTGGAATGCTGGGGCTGCAGCAGGCTCAGGGCATGGAATTGGCACCACAGGTGGCACCAGGACAGGGATTCCTGTGCTCTCAGCCATCCCCGTGTGAGGACAGGTCATTGCCTAAGGAAGTGTCCAAAAACAGCTGGAAAGGTCATTATTTCTATATAAATATAAATATATAATAATATAGAACCTATATTAAATAGATATAAATTTAATAAAGATTAAAAGAGGAAAGGCACAACTTAAAGCCAGGATATCAAAGGGTTTGGGCTGTATGTTTGTTTTTCAATAAACAACAACAAGCTGGAGCACTGAACAATGACTGATGAGAGCTGGGGCTGTGTGTGAAGCCTGGGACCAACACCAGTGGCTTTACTGAATAAAACCAAGCCTATAGATGTGTTATGGGATAATTATAAACTGCAGTCATACACTTAGCACTGATTAACCAGCCATTATTCATCACCCACATCCACTGAGAGTGTGGCACAGCAAAGCAATCCCTAGGTATTTGTGATTTCTGTAAAATTAATAGAAACTCCCAAGAAAAGCTTTTTAAAAAAAAACCCTTTAATTCAAATAGTTCAATACCCAAGATGAAAGACCCCTGCTCTTCAGAGGCAGTTCCAAAAACATCTGGCAAGGATCATTTTGTTCCAGCTCCAGAGGGACAAAACAGGGGAGAACAAAATGACTCCACTCCAACTTCAGCAGATTAAAAACCAGTTTATCAGGGCCTGAAAGTGACTGGCACTGCAGCCAAGAGCATCTGTTTATGGTCACTGTTGGGAGGCAGGAAACTGAGCCAAGGGGATCCTTAATTTTAACCCAAAATTATCTTTTGCATGTGACACTCAAACACTGCACACTTCAAAATACAAAAGGGACAAACACGTTCAGGCCACTCAGCCTTTAACCAAAAAAAAATCCTACAATTACCTCAAACCTGAGTAAAATACCTCAGAGGAACAAGTCCCCTGAATTCACCGTGTCTTAAACCTTCATTCTTTAAGTCAGATTTTAAATTTCATTTTATAGAAATGAAATAATGCTCAGAAAATACTCTTGCCCCTTGTATGCTTAAGCTTCATTTAAAACCTCTTGTAACTGTGTGTTGCAATATTTTTTTTTAATTTTACAATTTAAAAAAAAAAAAAAAAAAAAAAGATAAAATATAGTCAACAGGGTAAAAAATCCAACCTGTATTTCAGGCAAATGAGCTTATAAGGGAATTTTCTCAGTTCTTGCTCACCCCAAAGCAGGAATGAATAAACGTGTCCCAACACCTGCACCTCCAGAGCAAGCTGCAGCCTGCCCCTGGCTGCAGGGAACGACTGCAGCCTGCTGCTGCTTGCAGCAGGAAGTTCTTGCACAAGCTTGAGTCAGGAAAAGCTTTTTTCAAGATAAAGTTGTTTCTTCATCATGTTATTTAAAAAAAAAAAAAGCCTATGGAGAGTCCTCAGTGTTGTCCCCTCCCCAAAAGGTGGGATGGAGGTGACAATAATTCAGCCAAGTTACTGCAAAGGAAGGAATGTTCTCTCCACACAGGAGTTATCTGTGTGGGGAATATTTTGCTGGCAGGTGCATGGAGCACCTCTCTAACCCCTGTTTAGCACCAACATTTTGATCATAAGTTTAAAAAAAAAAAATCCACTGGGAACCATTGCCTAGTGCAAAGGTTTTTATCTGGTTCCATGAGATTGTAATAGAAGCAGAATGCTGTTGACATGGTGAGTGAATGTGTAGATGAATCCAGCAGGGACTGAAGCTGTTCCATGTTTGTCCTGCACAGCTCTGAAAGGACCAGCAGTGCCTTTGCACAGAGAGCTCCAGCACAGCCCCAGCCCCTGGGCAGCAGCACTGCAGGGACCCTTCCCAAAAAGCTGCAGCAGATCCCAGGCACTGATCAACCCGTGGGGCTCTGAACTCCCCTGACAACACAAATCTGAGTTCCCTGAACAGGCAGCAGCAAGGGCTCGTGTCAGAGGTGATAAGCCTGAAGAATGGGAAGCAGGAGAGGAGCTGGAAGGAATCCCCAGTTCCACCATGCACCTGGAAACAAGCTCTAATTAAAACAAATTACATCCTAAAGAATTGGAAGGAAGGGGAAAGAGGTAATCTTACTGATTTATGCCTGGAAAAAAAAAAAAAAAGCTGAAATGAAGGCAGAACAAAGGGAAGGGACTATTCCTCATCCAAAGGACAAGATCCAAGCACTTCCCACGCTGGATCTGCAATTTCTCCCAGCTGTTTGCAGTGCCATTCACTCACCAGAGCACCCAGCAGCAGTGCCTGGGCACCCAGCCAGGACAGAACTGTCCCTGAGGAGCAGGACAGTGCAGGGGCACTGCCAGCCCTGCTGCCACCCAGCCTCGCCTTGGGCTGCCTTCTGTGGGCTCTGGGGGAGCAGGGACGTTGGGCTTCTATTTGTGGTGTTTGTTTTTATTTTTAAACCCAAGTGTACAGCCTCGAGCAGCCACACACAGACCTGAGGAGCTGCTTGGTTATGAACTGGCTGCCCAAGGCCTTCTCTCCTGCCTGGCAGTGAACATTTCACACCAGGACACAAGCTGCCATATCCCCGTGCTCCTGCACAGCACTGATGGAT